GATCGTACTTCATTTGCTCATCAATACTCGGTTGGGTCTCATTGGAAAAAGCAGACAAGTCATGTCCAGGAGAATAAGACAACAAAAGATGATGATATCCATCTCGACTACATAAACCAATTTCTCGATAGAGAAAAAACTCATCGGTGATTTTAAAACCGTGACAGAAAGCAACAACTCCAATAGTCTCCATACTTGGAGAGTGAATGAAGTCTCTGGGTAGAGTCATGCTATTTAAAAGGAACGCGAACGTGACTAGATTCATGTCATCCACCCAATTGTAAACAAGGTATTGACGTAATGGCCTAGACTTGCCCGCTCCCCAGGGAGGGATTGACGTCATGACCCAATTCCCTTAGCACCCAAATGCTCAATAAAGTAATGTATTCAAGTGAAAAAAGGCATGTGCAAATTTCAAGAACCGAACGTTCAGCAATTGCAACGAAGCAGAATGTCGGAACTTCAGAATACCATGAACGCTATATTTGGTTCCCCTGATGAGGAGTCCATAACTCGTCCTGACAACCCCAAGATGGTGAAGTTGGAAAAATGAATGATTCAACCTCAAATACTAATTCAAGGAAGCAACAAACGTCCCAAAGGCAAGAAAACCAAGAAAACAGTGAACCTTAAATAAGTGATCGAGGATCCACCATATGCTGGAAATGAACTACGAGTCATTCCACCTCAGCCAACAGTGCCCACCAACCTTCTCATGCCTGGTCCGTCATTAGCAGGAAACATAGAAGAGTATCCTAGACCGTCTCTCCCAAGCTATGAAGAGATGATGCTAGATGACATGTTCAATGGTCCAAGCTCTATGGAAACACAACCTGACCTAACGCCTGTGAAAGTGTTGGAAGAGGGAGTAGCAGTGACCCAAGATGATCAAACTGTGGAATGGTGGCCGGTGGAGGAACCAGAGCAAATGGCGAACATGTTGGAGTATTTGGAAGATGAAAACAAACCTCTGCATACCAACTTTGTCCTTCCTAACCAAGGACTAGCCCCGTGTTATGCCTGTCCGGTCTTTTTTGGAAGTATGCAGAACAAGCAGATTGTAGCGGAAGCCTTGTGTAACGAGATACACAGCAAAATACTCAATCAGTGGGGAACGCTTAGCTGTCGTTGTGGATTAGTGCCCAAATTGCAGTTGAGTCAAACACCCAGAAACATGCAAAAAAAGTCTTCCTAGGCTGTCCCAAACCTCGAGAAGCCAGATGTGGGTATTTTCAGTGGATCCATGAGCCCCCCAAACCCAACTATGTACCCAAGACAGCCATCCGAAAAGCCCTAAAGAAACGACTGGCGGACATGGTCAGTGACAGGATGAGCCTGGAGAAAAAGCAGAAAACCGAAGAAGGATTTCAATTTCCTTAAAGCAATGTAAAAACATGTGTGATTCATTAAAGTTGTTTTTTTTGCTACATGAGTGCATGTTGATTGTCATGTCTTTCCCTTTCCCTGGGGAGGGTCATTGACGTCATGACCCAGACTTGCCCGCTCCCCAGGGAGAAATTGTTGTCATAGGGCTTCGACCTTTGAGCAGAATTTGCATACAAACTCAACCAAGCATGGGCGATTGACGTCAATCTCACTTCATTTTGCTGAGCTAGGCAAGTTGTATGACGCATTTGTTTTTCCCTAAAGATTTGTTTACCTTTTTCCTACGTTGTTGCTATATCTAGCGTTTGAACCTTTCAGCTGAATTTGCATGCAAACTCAATCAAGCGTACGTCATTGACGAAATCTAACTTGATTTTGCTGAGCTAGGCACATTGTATGACACATTTGTTTTTTCCCTAAAGACTTTATTGAACGTGCAAAGTTGCACGTTTTCGATTTCCCACGGTTTTCTGCACTATGTCCTACTTCAAGTCACATTTCGATTCCTTCTATCTTTGACTTACACCCTCTTACTATTGTTTAAAGGTCATTAGTCCGCCGTCTTGGATGCTATTCAGGCAATTAATCCATTATCTTGGTATTGTTTTCATAGTAATGTTGTTTGCTCTTTCACGATTAACCCATATTTAACGCTCATTTTTCGCTCCTTTTTCCCTTGCTTCCCGAGTCAATAACTTTTCACTGTTATTATTCCGTGCCATTTCTTTCATTATTCTTTACCTTAAATTACAAACTGGGACTTATAGGTCACCTACAGTGGCCCGCCCATTGCTGTATATTCTTGAAATAATACAAAATACAATTCCACACATTTTTCGCGCAAACGAATTCTCTCTAACGGTGTTGCCTTCATGTATTTCCAGAAAATTTCGATCACTCATGTCGTCTATACACAATCTTATGCCTACAATTCTTATACAGTGTGTGCATAAATCATCGTGGGTTGTATTTATCCAATAGGTGAATTCACAATACTGTCTCTGTCTCATTTCTTCTGAGGTAATTCTGGAAATATATAAAAGCAACAGCATTTTACATTTTTAGTGTAAATTAGGGAATCGCCTATATACTCTTTCTGTGAGTTCCTCCCGTTCTTCATCGACATTTGGCACTATTAAATGAGCATCCGGTATATTCCAATAGATTCGTTCAAAATTTTCATTCGCGTACAAGGGATCAAACTCCCGATAATTCATAAATTAAACGAAATCATCAATTAATAATTTAAAAATTCCTAAACGATAGTCACAATGACACTGCTCATGATTAAAAACCCACAGCTTAAATGGACAGAACGGGAGGCTTTGTATGTCGAGAAGACTGTTTCTAGAAAAGAGAAAGACAAAGACACCTTCATTCACTGTGTTCCTCCACTTAAATTCCTGTGACCCTAGAATATAATTTTATTATACAACGTCACTCCATATGCCAATTAATGTGTTGTCCTTTCCATGCCATTCTTAACCCGTCTAGTGTTAAATGCATTTTAAAAATGTGCTCACAATGTCCGCATTCGGAAAAGGTCAGCCATCTACTAATGTCCAATGTCTTAGTTCCTGGACAACGTGTCTACAATACACATAAAAGACGCACTACATTGACCACCATAAAACGATTAAACTTGCAGGAAAGTCTATATCTTTATACATTTCAATCGTTTCAGAGGTTGCTCTAAATAAAATTTAGGAACCACACAGTTAATGACGGTGACCACGAAACATCAGGAACAAGTTTCAAAAGGTTGAGAACATGTCTAAAACAAAGAAACCAACTTCTTACACTTCGTTTACAAAATTTACATATAACTGAATATAAAGGAAAAAGTTTTCCGGTTTTTTCCACGATGCAAAGGTTTCCATGCAGTTGTTCACAAAGCCACAAAAAATATNATAAATCATCGTGGGTTGTATTTATCCAATAGGTGAATTCACAATACTGTCTCTGTCTCATTTCTTCTGAGGTAATTCTGGAAATATATAAAAGCAACAGCATTTTACATTTTTAGTGTAAATTAGGGAATCGCCTATATACTCTTTCTGTGAGTTCCTCCCGTTCTTCATCGACATTTGGCACTATTAAATGAGCATCCGGTATATTCCAATAGATTCGTTCAAAATTTTCATTCGCGTACAAGGGATCAAACTCCCGATAATTCATAAATTAAACGAAATCATCAATTAATAATTTAAAAATTCCTAAACGATAGTCACAATGACACTGCTCATGATTAAAAACCCACAGCTTAAATGGACAGAACGGGAGGCTTTGTATGTCGAGAAGACTGTTTCTAGAAAAGAGAAAGACAAAGACACCTTCATTCACTGTGTTCCTCCACTTAAATTCCTGTGACCCTAGAATATAATTTTATTATACAACGTCACTCCATATGCCAATTAATGTGTTGTCCTTTCCATGCCATTCTTAACCCGTCTAGTGTTAAATGCATTTTAAAAATGTGCTCACAATGTCCGCATTCGGAAAAGGTCAGCCATCTACTAATGTCCAATGTCTTAGTTCCTGGACAACGTGTCTACAATACACATAAAAGACGCACTACATTGACCACCATAAAACGATTAAACTTGCAGGAAAGTCTATATCTTTATACATTTCAATCGTTTCAGAGGTTGCTCTAAATAAAATTTAGGAACCACACAGTTAATGACGGTGACCACGAAACATCAGGAACAAGTTTCAAAAGGTTGAGAACATGTCTAAAACAAAGAAACCAACTTCTTACACTTCGTTTACAAAATTTACATATAACTGAATATAAAGGAAAAAGTTTTCCGGTTTTTTCCACGATGCAAAGGTTTCCATGCAGTTGTTCACAAAGCCACAAAAAATATTGACTGGCCATCGTTCTTTATCCTTGTCTCTGTAGGCTTCTATAAATTTTAGAGTAATTCTATAGTGGATAATTGACAAGAAATATTTTCATAAATAGTGGTAAATCCAAATCTCTTAACAATCTAAGATTCATAAGCGCGGTTCTACGAGCAAACAAAAACATAACTTCAGTAATGAAAACGAATAGTTTTTAACGATGTTCTAACAACAACAAACAATTTTCATTCCAAAGCAAATCCAACAATTTTTGCAGAATACATAATCTGAACTAAAGGCCAGTCCAGATCTTTTAGTAGCTCTACACTCCTCAACGCTTTTCTACAAAATAAAAACATTTACTGTGTTACTGTTTTAGTCTCAGTAATTTTGCAAAATCTTTAAGATTTTTTTTTTTAGCGCCTTTCTATAAAACAACAGAAACGTTCGACTGTAACAGCAGCAGCACGTGGCTGGGAAACAATCTCGCGCGATTCGCACAGTGTGCCAGGGCCGGAGGAGGGCTCGGGCGGTTTCTCCCGGGTTGGTTACTGCTTTCAGGGCCAACATTCATCAGGGTGTCTAGACTTCTAGGTTGATTGTTTTCTCTTTCTCTTGCATATGGATGCGGGAACCTGCAGGCCATGATAAAACTGTGGGCACAAATTAGCTGATCAAATAGAACTCACTCAAAGGCAAAGTCTTCTTCAAAGTGACGCTTGGTTTTAGCTACTTTCCTCTGCATAAAACACACCTTTACTCGATCATTGGTTCATTTCGCTTTTCCTTGGGTTCTCCATCTTCCTGATTTGTTCGCCTTGTTCCATGTGCTTCTACCACACCCTTACCATTTCCATATCACACATGTAGTCTTTTGTTTTAGACCATTTTGCAATCTTACCCTAAGCACGTTTTCTTCCTAAATTCATGTTTCTACTTTGTACACACTTGTTTTTTTATTTTCGTTTCCTCTTTTTCTATTTGATTTTTTCTTTCCCTGCCTTTTTTCTCTCTTTGCGTTGCTTTTAGATAGGACATGACACATGTCAGGGCTCCTTCAATTGACTGATTTTGTATATTTAATGACTCACGCTGGTTCATTATTATTCGCCTTTGTTTGACAGCATTTCGCAATCTTACCCTAGTCGCGAAACTCCCTACATTTATGTTTCTACTCTGTTTTTTATTTTCGTTTCCTGTTTCTTATACATGCTTTCTTATTTCCCTGCCTTTTTTCTCTTGTCCTTCTTTCTAAGCCACAAAACACATCTCTAGTCCTTATTTCATTCGACTGATTTTGCATATTTAATTATACCTTGTTCTCTTCCGATTGCTTTACGATGCAACCACGATGAAACAATGATGACGTATACGGAGGACATGACACATGTCACGACTCCTTGACTTAACCGATTTTGCATATTTAATGCTCCCACTTTTACTGTTATCACGTTTCTTACTAACACGAGATTTCTACTCTGTTTTTTATTTTCTTTGACTGTCTTCTATTCCTTTTCTTATATCCGTGACTTTTTTCTCTTCATATTCTTTCTAAGCAAGCAAACACACCTCTAGTCCTTCTTTCACTTGACTGATTTTGAATATTTAATTATCCTTTCACTTACAATCTTTTCCTTCTTTTCTCTTGCCATGTAAGTCTTATACCCTTCGGTACCATACTCTATTTAGGTCCTACCCATGATTTCCTCTTTTTCTTTTTAATTTCGGACCCGTTTTAAAATGTTTTTACCCCATGTTTTCTTCTACGCATGCGTTCCACGGTGGCCCACGTCCCTCGGAGCATGCGTTCTGCATCGGTATGAGGGCAGATATTGGATCGTTCCAGACATGGCTTTTGCTGTTCTTGCTCCACACAGGCACGGCACAGGGGGAATGTTAACTTATTCCCTGCTCGGTAGGGCAACACGAGATGATAGAGCAATTCAGGGGGCAAAATATCCACTTGGGCAATGCCAAAATAATGGTGGATGTCCTGATCCCTGGGGTTGGTATAAATGAGAGAAAAACGGACCAGATATTCCTTGTATTTGTTTACCCAGGGGTAAAGCGAGGTTACATCTGCATATTTAATGAGGTCAGGCTCTTCTACTTTGCAATGCAAGGCCACCGCCCCGGTTCGTCCTCCATAAAAGGCTTCACGAGGGTTGAGGGGTGGTACCATTTCCAGGGTGTCTAAAAATGCTTTCAATTGTGGGTTGATGTTCTTTTCGTCATTAAACTCACATTCCCAGCATTCTACGAGTGTATACCCTGCTTGGCGCAGCATGGCGGCTTTCTTGAGGGTGGCGTCATAGACTTCATCAATTTTGCGGTCTTTGTGGCAGTTGTTTTTGGCATGTCGGCCTGATTTGAAACAGCGGGGACAGTCGTGATAGAAGCACCCGTAAAATTCAAAGACAGTGTTTGTTTGTTGATCAAAACCATCGACATAATAACTTTCTGCGGGTGTAAGCACTTGCACCTCACCCCCGTTCCTCACGTGGCGGACATGCCCCATACCACTTCTCTGGTGGTCCTGGAAGTACAACCACTCCAAGGCAATTTGACTTTGATTAATATGGTTGCCATGCCACCTGCCATTTGGTTCTAAGGCAATGAGATCCTCTTCTAGCTTTTCCTTATGCCAAAAGTAGTTGCAGGCAGCAGCAATGGTAATGGATTGAATGAGAGGATTAAAGCCAGCAATTTCTTCGAATTCTTTGACAAATTTCAAACAACCTTCTTTTAATAATGCAACATCACTCTCACAATATTTCAGCAGCTTTTCTCTGAAGTTAAAGATGGCGTTGGAGGACCTTGCTGGTTGTACCATGTAAGAAATTTTTCTCGTTTCTTACTGTCCATGCTGTCTGGATCATAATCTTCTTTGGGGGGAAATGGACCAACATACGAAAAGTTGCATTCTTTGTTGAAGGCATGGGGTCACCAACCCTTGTGCAGTTCCATCAGGTTAAACATAGCAGGAAATTTTTCGAGTTGCATGGCAAAGAAGTTGAGACTGTCCATAAAGATGAGATCGCCGCTTTCAAAATACAAAATTTTTAGCGCCCATGGCCTTTCCACGGCCCGACCTTGCTGATAAAGGGCTTCTAAAATAAAATTGCCGTCAAACCCCCTTAAGTTATGGAAAAAGGTAATGACTTTGCGCCCCCTGGCATCAGTCTCCACTTCTGTGAGGGCTTGCAAGGCTTCTAAAAATTCTTCCATGGAGTCTGAATGATGTACCTCGTCAGCATCTTCCTCACTCGACCAGCAAATAAGATTGGGGACGAACACACGGTCTTTTGATAGAGCACATTCGATATCAGCAAAGACTGAGATAGGGCGTGGTGGGGGGCCACTGTTTTCGTTCTCGTTATCATCATCCTCACATTGCCATTGTAACGGTTCTTCCAAGGGGTCTTGTTCCTCTTGTTCTTGTGGTTCTTTTTCAACAATGGGTTGAATATAACAAAAATGGTTCACGTGTTTAAATTCGCCACAATTGGTCCAACTCACGTGATAGCATTTGTGCAGCTTTTTAGGATTGAAGGGGTAGTGGGCACAACAGAGAGGACATTTCTTCCATGAATCACACACAATTTGATCTGTTGTCTTTGGACCTTTGGCTTTATGAGCCTCAAAACAGTTTTGTCCGTGAAACATGACGTTATGGTCTGGACAATAAAGGGTGGGTTTGATCCAGGCAGCAAAATTACGACATGTTTTGTTGGTTCTAGTACAGGCATTGCAATTCTGCCCTCCGCAGTTATGGTGTTGGGCGTCCTGTGTGTTGAAACCTCTATCGCAAAGACGACAATAATACGATCGATTCATAAGGACAGGAATACTTCTGAGTCCATCAAAATGTCCTTGATGTTTACAAGACCAATGAAATGAGGGGCTTGATTATACTGTGCTTTAAAAACGATTAAACATTTTGAGGGTTCAACCACGATGAGCTGGTACCCCTGTGGTCCGAGGTAATCTTGGAATTTTTGCAATTCCTCGAACCCACAGGGGCCTTCGGGAACACCCGCTTCTTGATGGAGGAGATGGGCCCAACGTTCTTGAATCGGTCACCACATTTTTCATGCAAACGAATTCTCTCTAACGGTGTTGCCTTCATGTATTTCTGGAAATTTCGATCACTCATGTCGTCTATACACAATCTTATGCCTAAAATTCTTATACAGTGTGTGCATTAATCATCGTGGGTTGTATTTATCCAATAGGTGAATTCACAATACTGTCTCTGTCTCATTTCTTCTAAGGTAATTCTGGAAATATATAAAAGCAACAGCGTTTTACATTTTTAGTGTAAATTAGGGAATCGCCTATATACTCTTTCTGTGAGTTCCTCCCGTTCTTCATCGACATTTGGCACTATTAAATGAGCATCCGGTATATTTTGATACACTCGTTCAAAATTTTCATTCGCATACAAGGGATCAAACTCCCGATAATTCATAAATTAAACGAAATCATCAATTAATAATTTAAAAATTCCTAAACGATAGTCACAATGACACTGCTCATGAACCCACAGGGTAAATGGACAGAACGGGAGGCTTTGTATGTCGAGAAGACTGTTTCTAGAAAAGAGAAAGACAAAGACACCTTCATTCGCTGTGTTCCTCCACTTAAATTCCTGTGACCCCAGAATATAATTTTATTATACCACGTCGCTCCATATGCCAATTAATGTGTTGTCCTTTCCATGCCATTCTTAACCCGTCTAGTGTTAAATGCATTTTAAAAATGTGCTCACAATGTCCGCATTCGGAAAAGGTCAGCCATCTACTAAAGGGGAAATACATTTTTTTTTCCAATGTCTTAGTTCCTGGACAACGTGTCTACAATACACATAAAAAGACGCACTACATTGACCACCATAAAACAATTAAACTTGCAGGAAAGTCTATACCCTTATACATTTCAATCGTTTCACAGGTTGCTCTAAATAAAATTTAGGAACCACATAGGGAATGACGGTGACCACGAAACACCAGGAACAAGTTTCAAAAGGTTGAGAACATGTCTAAAACAAAGAAATCAACTTCTTACACTTCGTTTACAAAATTTACATATAACTGAATATAAAGGAAAAAGTTTTCAGGTTTTTTCCACGATGCAAAGGTTTCCATGCAGTTGTTCACAAAGCCACAAAAAATATCGACTGGCCATCGTTCTTTATCCTTGTCTCTGTAGGCTTCTATTAATTTAAGAGTAATGCTATAGTGGATAATGGACAAGAAATATTTTCATAAATAGTGGTAAATCCAAATCTCTTAACAATCTAAGATTCGTAAGCGCGGTTCTACGAGCAAACAAAAACATAACTTCAGTAATGAAAACGAATAGTTTTTAACGATGTTCTAACAACAACAAACAATTTTCATTTCAAAGCAAATCCAACAATTTTTGCAGAATACATAATCTGAACTAAAGGCCAGTCCAGATCTTTTAGTAGCTCTACATTCCTCAACGCTTTTCTACAAAATGAAAACATTTACCGTGTTACTGTTTTAGTCTCAGTAATTTTGCAAAATCTTTAAGATTTTTTTTTTTAGCGCCTTTCTATAAAACAACAGAAACATTCGACTGTAACAGCAGCAGCACGTGGCTGGGAAACAATCTCTATGTCCAATTCAAATCATCCACATACTTTAATTCGTTCATGACATACCTGAATTTCTTTGCGTGTTACTGTCTGTCCTTTTCTCTCTTTTCTTCAAATTCTCTCTTCTCAAGCGCGATTCGCACAGTGTGCCAGGGCCGGAGGAGGGCTCGGGCGGTTTCTCCCGGGTTGGGTACTGCTTTCAGGGCCATCTTCATCAGGCCGTCTAGACTTCTAGGTTGATTGTTTTCTCTTTCTCTTCCGTATCTTCACGTGTCTTCACATCTCTAGTCCTTATTTCAGTTGACTGATTTTGCATATTTAATTATACCTTGTTCTCTTCCGACTGCTTTACGATGCAACCACGATGAAACGATGATGACGTATACGGAGGACGTGACACATGTCACGACTCCTTGACTTGACCGATTTTGCATATGTAATGCTCCCGCTTTTACTGTTATCACGTTTCTTACTAACACGACATTTCTACTCTGTTTTTTATTTTCTTTGACTGTGTCTGCTATTCCTTTTCTTGTCTGTGACTTTTTCTCTTCATATTCTTTCTAAGCAAGCAAACACACCTCTAGTCCTTCTTTCACTTGACTGATTTTGAATATTTAATTATCCTTTCACTTACAATCTTTTCCTTCTTTTCTCTTGCCATGTAAGTCTTATACCCTTCGGTACCATACTCTATTTAGGTCCTACCCATGATTTCCTCTTTTTCTTTTTAATTTCGGACCCGTTTTAAAATGTTTTTACCCCATGTTTTCTTCTTCGCATGCGTTCTGCTTTGCCCATGCGCACTGTGTAGGGGACAGTCCCACATGTCTGAGTTGACTTCTTCGTTTACACATATAAGTTCACGTTTGACTAGTGTATAATAACAACTCAAATGTCCTTCCTTTATGCTCTGACGACTTCTGACTGCCGAACTTCTCTGACGACTTCTGACCATTTCCGTTGATTTCCGAACCATTGTTCCCTAACGGAACCAATCAGAGGGCTCCCAAACAATACAACTAATTTGCATGACAGTAGGGACTAAACTAACCCCCAATGCTGCTCATAGCACCGCACTTCCAAGGAAGAAGGGGGCAGACGTGGTTGTATGCATTGCCATGACTGTTGAGTGGCAGCCAAATAATATGGAAGGGTTTATTGTAGTAGTGGCTGGCTTCTAGCGGGAAACAGCATGGACGATTCTCCAGGGTACTGTAAAATGCTGCTCCCGGAAGAGTGCAATCTTGTTGAATGAGGACTTTTAAAAGACCAGCGCAAAGGAGGCCTGTGAAATACCTGATAGAGGTAGAAAGATTTTTATATTTTTATGCACTGCAGCAGTCATTGTTTTCGAACTCTTTATTTTCTCAATGCCCTCCAAAGGAGTAATAATAGTAAACGAGTTTGTGTTCTCGGACATAGATATGTTTGGGCTCTAATTAGAGCTCATTTTCCTGTCATATGTCTCTAAAGGAAACTATTACTGTTTAATATTACTATTTTGGGCCTACTTTGTGACTTACAGAACTGTCCGATGGTGCAACTCGTAAGTCGAGCAATATGGTTGGCCAAGCCCAAATGAGACCTAAATTACCTTGAATTTTTGGGATTTCAAAAAAAAACTAGTTCACATTAAGGGGAGTAAAACCACTGAAAACGCCAGCGTAAGGGCAACTACCACTGTCAAAAATAGCGAAGAATTCGAAGTCTCCAAGCAGGATTGAATTGACTGGGAATAACTGTAAACGAACAGGTAAAAAACACAAAGAATAGAGAATTAACAAAGGATATGGCAATTCATACCAATATCGGTGAAATTGGTTAGTGCGGATACGACTTGACGCTTGACACTTTGTGCCACAATTTTGTAGACTGAAGCATCTTATAGACGACCAGTCTCATGTACAGACAGGCTCACACAAGCCGCCCATTGCACAGCATCGTCTTTGTGGGAAAAACGATCTTCATTCTGAAAAGGATAATCACTCAAGCAATAATTTATTTAAAATATTAAATGCAAGGAAAACAACAAGGATGAGGTTGATAATACAATTACGAGGTAATGAATAGCATTATTTATCACCGACAGTCATTTTTTTATTGCACCTGTTAATGTCATTTAACAACCTCCAACAAACTGCGGGGATCAACAGCAGTATATATTAAAAACTATGCGATAAAACTGAGCTGAACAAGTAATAAAACAATCTTATATTTGGTGTACTTACCACCTAAACAATGTGCTTGTAATGAGCAAGGCCAAACAAGGCAGAACCGAGTCTTTAAGCCTTGGAAGATTCTTCTCCGTGATCCATAATTACTGCTAGTGAGTTGTAAAGGCAGTTGCCATCACCCCTTGTATAAAAGGGTTCCAGACCCATGTTGTTTATGTAAGATTGCACGTAAGTTGAAAATCTTGGAGAGATCAATAATGAGGAAATTTGTTTAACAATGCAGCAATTAGGAGATATTAAGAACTCGCTAGAATGAGTCCGTGCATTCCAGTTCTACTTTTAAAGAAAAATTGGAATTAATTATTTGCAAGTGTTTGAAAACCCGGAAAAACGTCTCAGTGCAATGAACAAAAGCAACAACAAACTCAACCCACATATAGCTTTTTTGCGGGGATTCATGTGAACCCAGGCCACATTGATGGGAACCGAATGCTGTCACCACTGCGCCACCCTTGCACCAAAGGTAAAAGTAAAAAAAGGGTGGTTTCTAAAAGCTGATATAAAAGAGGTTACTATAAGTAAAGTTAACTGCAGACAGGACTGTTTTGGCCTTCTGGGCCTCATCAGTGCAGTGCTGATGCTAGGATGGAAGTTAAGCTATGAAGCTACCCCAAATGATCCCACAAATGTGATATCATCTAAGCCACGCCAGAGTGCTCTAACTAGTAACTAGTGAGCATGGTACGGTCATGACTCATCCTAGCAGAATGCTCAATTTCAACATGAAAGCATAGCTTTATATGTGAAAGAGCTATATCTAACTGCAGACAGTGCTGTTTCGGCCTTCTGGCCCTTCTCATTGCAGTGCTGATGTTAGGATGAAGGTAAGATAAGCTATGAAGCAACCCCAATAATCCCACAAATGTAAAATCATCTAGGCCATGCCAGAATGCTCTAGACCGTTGTAACTAGCGAGCATGAACAAAGTCATCTGGACGCAAATCTTTTTATTCCCTGTAAGTACAGTCAAACCCAGCTCTACAGACATCTGTTTAATGCAGACACCTCATTAGTACAGAACGTTTGCAGTGTCCCTGGGAAAAAACCCTTGCATTTTCTCTAAATTCCACCCGCTTAATTCAGATGCAGTACAGACACTTTTCTTAATATTAATGGGGCTTGACAGTATGGCTGTGCTGTGAAAAGAAAGACACTTCTTTGTGGTTAATCATGATTGTCAAAGCAGTATATCATGTACATACAAGGGACTTGCAACTGTAGTTATTGAAGAGATACAGTTCCGAAAAAATTTTTAAACTGTAACAGAATGATCCGGGAGCAGTATTTTCAGGTCACATTGAAATTCGTTTGAAATGAAACTAAATGAAACTTCCCATTTGCATCTCGCTGTCATGATCAGTGACAAAAAGGAAATATTTTTTCTGTTGTCTAAAAGATGATGCACATATATACTAAAACAATAGGGTGCCGTTGAAAAAGCCCGAACAACTGCAGAGGAAAAGTAAACATTTGAAAGTATTAGCACCCACCCTGGCTATGCTGTTCCTGTTGATATATCAATTGGCTACCCTCAGATAAAGATCAGATAAAGATATTGAAAAATGCAGAAAAGTTGATCTCTCAACTCCATATACCTTTCAGGAAGGTGCCGTTGCTCCACACTGGTAAGGAATTTGGACAACTGCATTACAGGTAAATGAGCTGCAATGTGGGAAGACAAATTCTTGTTGACATCCCAGGGCAGTTTTATCATACACCCAAGGATGTCACGTGCCCTATCAGCATTTACAACTGCGTCAACATCATTCTGAAACAAAACAATGAAAATTTAGTTGGTTCCAGCAACTTGCTCATTGGTGATCCCAGAGGTATGCAGGATGCGTGTAAAATATGAACCTAGTATATGGCCTCACTCTACATGAGTTCTCCCTAAATCAAGTGGATAGAGCGCCCACCCGGTTTTTGGGAGGTCATAGGTTCTATCCCGTCGGGGACTCAGATTTTTTCTTTTCCCCACACTCGTAACATGCTGATTAGTAATTTTCATTTACACATTTGTTTCACCGAGCTTAAAATTTACCATCTTTCATTTCTTTCACCACACAGTGCGACGTCGACATTGCTGATCGTTGCAGTATGCAGGACACGTGTCAAATATGAACCTAGTAAGTGGCCTTGCTCTCAATGAGTTCTCCGTAGCTCAAGTGGATAGAGCACCCACCTGGTGTTTGGGAGGTCATAGGTCGATTCCTGTTGGGGACTCATTTCTTTCTTTGCCCAACGCTTGTGACATACTGATTATTTTCGTTTTCACAAGATTAAACCTACAATAACCACACTATGACTTACTTCACCATGTAGAGTTCCCAAAATGTGTAAAAGCAAAGTGATCTGAAGGGTATTTAAATGGGTACATGAAAGAAAGACCTCTTTCCAGCCGTCACCTAGGTACCTTGATGTATTCCCAAACTTCTGATTCACAATGCTTATTAGTTTTCCAGGTGAACATGATGATATAAGACTAAAACCAGGGACGTGATGTGGGGTGATGGAGAACTCACTACTGGAGCTGATAGGAAAGGTGTTGATGACATGAATTGAGCAGGTGTTGTGAATTGTGCATATGTGAATGAGGATTGTGCAGGTGTTGATTTGAATTGTGTAGGTGTGGATCTGGATGATGATTGTGCTGGTGCAGACGATGATTGTACTGGCGTGGATAATGTTTGAGTGGGTCTTGATGAAGTTTTTGCTGTTGAAGATGTGGACTGTGGAATTGGAATGACAGGACTTCCAGCGTCAGGTTCATTATCGTCATCCTCCATCGTCTCTTCCTGATCCTCATGATTAGCAGCCTCCTTGCTATTCTTGAATGCTTCAA